CCCAACATTAAATTAAAAATTTCCATTTGGTTAGTGGCAAAAGATACCATCCGGAACACAATTATGGTTGTATTGGAACGGTGCCCTTTTTTAAACCAGGGATCAAATGTTCTTATTCCTTATTCCTGTAAGTTCATTGAGAGAGACAATGTGGACAGGATAACAATTTTTCACAGAGCACGATGTTTGTTTTGCATGAGCAAAGATAGGTAAACATCTCTCTTAATCTCTTTTGTCTTTGGAAATCCAACAAGATTAATTTTTAGCTGAGGTCTTAAGCTCCATTAAACCTGAGGGGGAAGAAGGAATGTGACTGCATATACATTTTCAATCAGTCCTTGAAGTATTAAAATACCCACAATCAGTGTATACGTGAATTAGAATTCTTTTTATGAATCAGAATTAGAAATCTTTTTTCATTGGCCAAATGTGATTGGATGCCCAAGGAATTTGGGGGATTTAATGAAATTTTAGTTGATGGAGAGAACATATAATGCTCTGCATCTCAACCTCATTTGAGGCACTAGGATAATTGCAAAGAATTGCTGTCCAATATGTTCAATCTTTGCCTTGATTTAACAGATATAACGTTTTTCTGAAGCTCCCTCAAATGAAGGGGGAAGAAGGAATTTAGCTATCTGTACATTTAATCTGGGGATGGAAACACCAGGTGTTTCACAATAATAAAGTAACACAGTTGGAAGGGAATTTTGGAGGACTTCTACTCCAACCCCCTGCCCAAGCATGAGGCCCTGTAATATTTTACATAAATGGTTATCCAAACTCTTCTTACAAGATTCCAGCAATAGAGCACCCTCAACTTCTGAAGGCAAGACATCCCACTGATTAATTGTTCCAGCTTTCATGAAATTTCTCCTTAATTCGAGCTTGGTCCTCTCCTTAATGAGTTTCCATCCATTGTTTCTTGTCCTGCTTTCTGGTGCTTTGGAGAGTAGGTGATCCCTGTCTTCTTTGTTGGAGCCCCTCAGATATTGGAAGACTGCTATCATGTCTCCCCTAGACCTTCTTTTCATGAAATTAGACATACCCAATTCCAGCAATCATTCTTCAGATGTTTTAGCCTCCAGCCCCCTGATCATTCTAGTTGCTCTTCTTTCCAGAGTCTCAAGATCTTTTTTTTATTGTGGCAGATATAAAAACTGCATGCAATATTCTAACTGAGGTCTTATTAAGGCTTTATAAAGTGCTAATAATATTTCGCATGATCTTGATTCTATCCCTCTGTTAATGCAGTCTAGGATTGTGTTGGTTTATTTGGCAGCTGCAGCCCATGCCTGGCTCAGATTTACGTAACTCTCCACTAGGACTCCCAGATCCCTCTCGCAGTTACTGCAATGGAGCCAGGATTCATCTGTTAGGAACATTTTGAATAGTTCGGAGGACGGGCAAGTATCACCTCTCACTGGCCCTGCCCCAACGTGCCCAGTCACAACTTGCCATGCCCACACTGCCCGCTCTCCCTGCCCCGCACAATCACACCTCCCCTTTCTGGTATAGCACACTGTGCGCTCCTCACCTTGACCAAAGAGTCTCTGCTTGTGGCTCACCTGCCTTCCGATGCAGAGCCTGTGGCCCAACTGAGCGCCCCTGATCTGTCTGCCTGGGAAAGGAAGCCTGCAACTCACACGAACCCGCTGTCTCTGGCCTTTAGGCTGCCTGGCTTACTTGGCCACAGCAGCTG